TACCCTTTTTGAGCTTACATTGTTGGTCATTCTCACCTTCTGATTTCAATGCCAAAAAGGGGGAGAAAATGACTGAAATAAGGATAGCTTTTATCCTTTTGTTATCTGTTTCTATCTTCTGGTATCTATCTTTACTTGTTGATTTGGCATCAGTTCTTTATCTTTATTACTGCTGTGAGGTTTTGACATTAAAAGGCAAAAGGGGGAGATTGTTGGTCCCATTGTTCACATTTGTTTGCACTTTTAATGTCACATGTAGGCTTCCAGGGCTGCTACTGAGATATTTCACCAATTCTGGTGTGCTCAGGGCATATCTGATACATACAGGGGTAGTATAGTCATTTTACAAACATGAGAGCTCATTTAAAATAAGTTGAGGAAGGTACATTGTGCTGTGGAGTCACTTTACAGGCCAAATCTGCTTAAATTTCTGGTCCAGCATGTGACATTTGGTTACAGAGTCCTTCAGGAGCATTTAAGTCTTTTCACACATGATTTGATGTTTTTACACTTGCTTCGGATACTACATTGCATTTTACAGCTCAGAAATCCAATGCATTTGTATTTACGCAGCTGCAGCAACAGTTTTCTGTATTTTGTGACATGTGCCCACCTCAGGGGTATTTCAGTCATTGTATGTGATGAACACTTGCTTGACATGTGTCCAGTGGTCCTAGAGTGAGAGTGTGTTTACAGTTAAGCAATTCTTAGGCTCCAAGTCTGGATAAGGGTGATGAATGTGCACTACAAGTGAACTGTTGAATTGCTGGTACACTAAAGGACAAAACAGCTGAGTTGGCAAGGGTTTTGTGGTCCTTTCACTGAGGGAATGTCAGAATATTCTCCTCTCCAATGATTGGTTGATTGCATTTCCTTCTTAGGGTAGGATTTGAGCTCAAGGTATATATATAGGCTGTTATAGCGGTGGCCAAAAGTTGACAGCATTTGAGCCACTTTTGAGAACCCTAAACAAGCTGCATTGTATCACACATGGATGCATTCATACCGCTGGGCCACTGGCTCATTGGTACGACCTTATTAACTTTATGAAATGAAAATTTTAACTAAATCACACATGCATGCATTCATATATATATATACAAACACACACACACACACATTTCTCTTTACTACTTCCACCAGTACTCACCCTATAACCGCCTCTCTCTCTCCACAGCTTTCTCACCAAACTACCACCACCATCCTCTCTCATGAGGCCTCTAGTCTTAGCATACAAAGATTGGTGATTTGGGGTAATGGGAACTTCTGAAGAGGAGAGATTACTCTTGTAAAAGGGTCTTTTATAGGTTCCTACCTTTTCCCCTCCCCCCTACTCTCTCTCTCTCGGACATATTGTCTGTTTGGAGTCAAATGAAGATACCGATTTTTGCTACGGACTTTGAATTGGGACTGGAATATGAAGTTCTAATTCAAATCTTAGTGTACAATTTTATTGATGTAAACACTAATAGGCATGGTATTGGGGGCTTATTCGTATACCTCAATTTTACAAATAAAAACCAAAGTGTACATTGTTTTTTAGTTTCAGCAATTTGAAATCCGAAACAAATTCAGCTCCATGCAAACATGCTCATACTCATATATACTATTAAACCTTGATTTTGAATCTTCACACCATTTATTGGGTTTGCTCATGAGGTTGGGGTGATTTATTTAGTTGGGGCGACAAAATTTTAGCACTTGCTATTATGCTTTCCTTTTCTTTTATATGTAAAATTGAGTTTTCGAAATTGTGAAATCAGACTGTTTTGACTGACTTTGTTGTGAATCAATATTTCTTTTTCTTTTCTTTTCTTTTTTTTTTGTTTTACTTTATTTTAGCACATTTGGTGGCTGCATTCTTTTCCTTTGGGTGCTTATGTTGAAATAACAATGTCAGATACAATAGTTTTGATTTGTTTTAAAGTGTAAGCTAGACTATTTTATTTCACTGATTAACTAGGACTTTCCTACATTTGAATTGAAAATCTATCCCCGGATTTTTTTTAAACTAACATAAAATATTTATCTTTGATTGAAGAACAAATTATTTAGGGTTCTATGTAATAGGGGATTTTTTCTCTTCTGTTCTGTTTGGAGTCTCTTTTTCACACTTTTTCCTCTCTATATCAACCTTAAGGTCCTCTAGCTTTCCAGCTGGAATTTAAAATCACATGGCTCCTTATTATTAGTTCAAACTTCTATGATCATCATGTGTGAAACCATCTGAGTTGACTTTTATCGAAATGGTAATACTTACAAACTATTACATTTGCCATTCTTTACTAGTTTTATCATTTCATCACAACATTCTTTGTTGTGAGCCCTGGACCCTTTATTATTGATTTATATTTATTGTATGTGTGATGTGCCCCGAATTTGGTGTCTGGTAGCAACAATCCCGTTTTTTGCTTGCAGGTCGTAGACCCTTAGTACTCTATTGTAGCCCAATATATAGCGTTTGGAGCGGATTAATAGAGAGATACTGAAAATCGTAGAAAAGAGAATGAGAGTGAGAGTAAGAGTGAGAGTTAGGGTTTGGGGACTGAAACATAGTTGTAAAAGGCACCTGAGGCGCAAGGCACCTCCAGGCGCCATTGCATCGCCTTTAGGGACTTAAGGCGCAGGTGTTATATAAGGCACGCGCCTTTTCTACACAGGCGCAAGGCGAAAGGCTCTTTAAAGGCGCGCCTGATTGTTTATTAAGTCTTTCTCCACAATATGCTGGATTTTTAATTGTTTATTTCTTTGTTTATTTCTTATATTGTTATTGTTTTTATTATATTATTATTTTATTAGTTAAAATGTTACAACTTACAACATAAAAAGAAGAAAAAAAGATAACAAAAAAATAAAGCAAAGCAAAGACATAGGCAGGCAGCGAGAGCGACGACTGACGAGGATGACTTGGTCTCGGATCTGCGTTGGATTTGCCAGATCTGCGTTGCCGGTAAGTTCTCCAACTTCTCCTCCTCCTTCTCTTCTTCTTCTCTCCTCCTCCTCTTCTTCTCTCTTCCAGTCTTCCTTCTCTTCTCTTCGTCGGCGACTCAGTTTTTTTTTTTTTTCCTCTATTCTTCTTTTCTTCTTCTTCTTCTTTTCTTCTTTCTTCTTTTCTTCTTCTTTTCTTCTTTCTTCTTTTCTTCTTCTTTTCTTCTCTCGGCCCAGTCGAGTTTGGCACAGTTTTTTTTTATTTTTCTTCTTCTTCTTTTTATTTTTTATTTTTTATTTTTCTTCTTCAGTTTTTTTTTTCCTCTATTCTTCTTCTTTTCTTCTTTTCTTCTTTCTTCTTTCTTCTTTTCTTCTCTCGGCCCAGTCGAGTTTGGCAGAATTTTTTTTATTTTTATTTTTATTTTTTATTAATCTTAAAATAACAGTTGCTATTTATTTTTTATTTTTTATTTTATTATGAACCAAATACATAAAGTTATCCAAATGGATGCATTTACTTTTTACTTTTATATATATATTTGATACAATACCATACATATGCTTAAATTGCTAGATTGATCAAGATTAGAGCTGTAAGTACTTATTTGTCCTAATCTTTGTCCAAGAATTAATTAAACTGGTTTGTTTAGTCTTTGGTTTCTACTATCATGTAGTGTTTCAGTTTTACTACTAATATGCTTTAAATTTCAATAATTAATTTTTCCCTCAAATGTCTCATGACAACACCCATATACGATGGTGCAAATGGTGAAATTTTTTGTATTAGTCAAATTTTTTCGGATCTCATGAAATCATGCAACCAAATTGTATGCCTGTATTTGTTCCATTCTTAGAATGTTATTGGTTTGACTGCTTGAGGAAATGCATTTTTAACATCAAATTGTAACACCAAATTGAAGTCAAATTAACATCAAACTTAACACTGAATAGTCTGAATCCATGTGTTTTTTGCATGAAATAATATTCTGCTTTTTGCCTTTTTAAATTGAAATGTTAATATTTCTTTGAAGCTCTGTATTTTTTAGTTGGCTTTGACATCTTTATGTTGAATATTGAACTTAACTTTTACATCTTTTTATATACTATTGCATCTTTAATACTTTATTAGGTGGGTTTTGTTTTTTTTTTTTTTCCAACGTGCGCTTTGCTTCAGTCGGGCGCGCTCCTCGCCTTGCGCCTCAGGCTTCAGGAGGCATTTGCGCTTTTGTGCGCCTTGAGCCTTTAACAACTATGGACTGAAACTTGTACTCTCCAGATTTTCGCCTAGCGAGTTCTTTTGCCGGATCTACACCGTGTAGGTTTTGCGGAACCACAGTAAATCTTTGTGGTATTTGTTTTGTATGGCGTGTTTGTTTTCCGTTGTTTCTTGGGTTCGCTGTGTTTGTCGTAACAGTTTGTGTTGTCTTTACTCAAAATAGTAACAGCTCTTTCCTCCAACCAGATCAATTGAGTCGTACATCATTGGCATCTACTTTTGAAGGAGCAAAAGTATATAAAATAAGAAATTTGATAAAATTAGTTATATCTATGTATATATTGAGATAAGATTAGGGCCATTGTAGAGTTTTCTTATTTTAAGATTTTATCTGGTAGTTGCGTTTGGTTAGGATTTTATTTCATTGCCAATATAGCTATGTGTAGGCTTTGGTACTTTTGATTTGGACACTATATGATGGTGGTTGAATAATGAGCATGTTGTTTTAGTGATTTTGTTTCTATATTCTCCCTCTCTCCTATCTTTCCTCTCTTGTTCTGCATTTATTTGGTATCACAGCTTTCCCCTACAGCAAGTGGTGTCAACAATATAATGAAGTATGCTTTTAGATGAAGTTAATACTGGCTTTATTGGATTCAACCTCTCTAAGCAGCTAGTTGGCAGTGTCTCTATATATGTGGATCATTTGATTCACGGGTCATGATTTAGGAAGTCGTCCTGTTTTTTTTTTTTTTCTATTTTTTCTTTCGTTTTTGATAATATCAGTAAAAGAATGACTCCCACCCTCCAAAATTTTAGTCTCTTGCTCATTTTATGTTTACTTTGCCTCTTTCAGGGTCCAAGAAAGACGATACTTTTGGCATTGGAGACTGAAAACAGCTCTCTTTCATTGTCAAATACCAAAATTGCCCCAATAAACAATGAGGTATGTTTGAACACTCATTTTGACCTTGTTTGACAACCGCTTTTGCTTCTTTTTTTTTTTTTTTGGTTCTGGAATGTGAAAACGTGTTTAGTACCTTTTGTTGCAGTTAGAATAATATCGTCTTTGTTTCCAAGAGTGTTTCAATTCGTAAAATTGAATCTTTGAATGAAATTATCTCAATCAAGGTAAAAGAGGCGAAAAGCAGGAAACACCAAATAGGGTTGGTATTTTCTTTCTGTAAAAAATACTGTAGCGAAGAAGAATACTCACCAAAAAAAAAAAACCATGTTTCTAGATACTATTGAACACACTCCACAACAAAGATGTTATTTATGTTTCGGATCGAAGTAGAAGCACAAAACATTTTCGGATGCCAAGCAGACCCTTTGTGATTTAAAATTATTTATATAATGTAATTGGAATGATGAAAAAGCCCTTTCCTTCCTTGAGGCTTTTTTAAGTTTATTTAAAGTACTCCGGTTGTAAGTTGGATTTAAGTCTACTGGTGAAATACTTTCTAAATGACGAAATTATGCGAGTTAAAATGACTTAAATAACCTTATTAGTATAATCAAATGACCATTTCATTCAATTTTATTGTGAAATACTTTGAAGTTTTTCAATTGTGTGCATATAGTTCTTCTGCATGGGTCAAGCAATGGCTCAAGCTTAAATTGACGTAATTGGATTTCTTTAGTGTGTCTTCGTACTGTTTGTATGACTGACATTGAAACAAAGACGAGAGAGTGTAATCGAAGGAGTGTCCTTTTTGGACATTATGCTTTTTGATCGATTTTTTTAAAAAAATTATTTTATTTTTTAATAATGATATTTTAGGCATTTCAATTGGTAAATTCAAATAATACTTTACCATTTATCATTTATTGACTTTATTCTCACTTAAAAGCAATTTCCGCCCCCACCCCAGCCCACACCAACACCGAAAATGAGAAACTTCTAAACCTGGCGACTTTTGGTACAAACTCACAAACTACTCGTATCATTTTTAAATTTAAGTGTTTTTTTACGTCTTTGAAAATCAAACTTAGGACGCCTGAATTTTATAACTATAACCATTTTGATATTGTTATATCATGTCGACAACATTATATCATGCAAATATTCTCATTTATATTGGTATGTAGGTGGATTGATTTTTGTCTTGGAGGGTTGAAGTTTTGGTGAAAATTCCTGCATCACATCTAGAAGCAGACGTTTTGGCATGATGGATTGTTGGTTGCATTTTTTTGTATTTTAGTTTTCCACCTTGTTGAAAACTGGGTATATACGGTGGACCTAATTAAATGAATGGTTTATAGCTAGATTGAGAGAATGAAACAACCTTGAATTTAAGTTTTCATACTTGCTAGCTTATGAAAGTGGGAATGAATTTGGATAATGTTTTAAATTCCTTGCATGTGTACGGGGATTTGAAGTGTTTAATTCAGATTGATATATGATATATAATGTTATGACATATACCATCCTACAATATATAATGTTATAGTGCATTATGTTTCTCTTCCATTCCCCATGAGTTCATGATCACAGGTTTGCCCTCATCATACTTATTTTACATTCCCAATGAATTAATGATCACAGGTTTGCCCTTGTCATGCTTATCTTTCATTCCCATGATCGCATGTTTGCTTATGTTGAATAAATTCATTGGTGCTTGGGTGCATCTCTTGTATGAGGTGCACATGCTAAGGTGTGGGGGATTGGTAATGGAAAAGGTAGAAGGATAGGAAAGGAGAGGGAATAGCAATGGAAGTGGTTAAAGAGGATTCTAGCTTACCTGTGCGTGAGAAATAAAGGAAAAGATAAAGAAGAAGATTGGTAATATAATAAATTTTTACTTATTGAAAATGAATCTCAAAAGTAGGACTTCTTTGTCCTAATGAAAATTATATAGATCATCACTGGGGTCACACAACACAGAATTATATGAAATCAAATTTGGTGATGGAGTAGTGGGAAGTGGATCTGCAACACTTATTGACCCTCTAATAAAAGTGTTGCCTTGCACTGAAGATCGGATTTCTTCATTGGTTGATTGTGATGTACTAACATGATAATCTGAGATATGTTTGATGGCTTCATATAGGCCAGTGGATAGGAGGAAGAAATTGATCCCTCTCATAACACTTTCCGATACGCTACCAATACTAAAAGCAATAAACCCTATCCCAAGGTGATGTCGAACAGGGTTTTATGTGCTTGCTGCAGATACCTTGATCATTAAAAAGGACCACACCAAGAATATGGTGCAAGCCACCATCCCGCAGCACCTGAAACCTTGAGAAAGAAAAGACGGTTAGTTTCTAAGATGGAATTGAAAATGTTAAAAGTATCCCGTATTCCCATCTATTTAAAGCATTAGAAGAGACCTGAAGTTTGAGTATGCGTGGTTATATATATATATATATATAACACGAGATGAATTAATAGGAAAACAACCTACAAATAAATATCTATATGAACTCATGAAAGGCCCTTTAGCCCAACCAAAGAGGTAGAGGAAGCTCTTTGGAGTTTAGATTTATTTAGTTTTTGGGCAAAAAAAAAACCAAAAGAATCAGACGGAACCCAAAATAAAAAGGAGAAAGAACTAATTGTTGGTCTTTGGAGAACAAAGTGAATGCCCTCTATTAATGCATATTACCACACCTGACAATTCAAGTATTCACAGTTGAATCTCAAAAAGATCTTTTTGAATCAACTTGATCGTTTTCATTGATAAGTCCACCAAATCAACTCAGTTGGGGAATAAAGTCTATAATTTTATCAATGAGCTCCAAAAATCACAGATAGCAAGTCAAGTTCTAAATATGTGACATTATAAATATAATACTTGCTTGATGTTTTGCGAAATTTACAACCATGCTAATTTTTTTCCCTGTTACTGCTTTAAACAACTCCCATCTATATTAAAGGCCTCACTCTTGAGTATTAATGCAATATTTTAAGTGTAAAAGTTGTGAGTTACGTGGTGCAGAAGGTATTAGTTGATTAAGTTGTGATTAACCCTCGAAATAACCTAGATGATGTTATTAGGTTAACTTGCCCAATTTTTGTGATTAATTAATTTATACATGAATGCGATCAATTAAACATTCACAACCACAAAGATAAATATTGAAATGTAAAACAAGTAAAGTAAGAGATATGACTCCATGATTTTTAGCGAGGAAACCAATTGGAAAACCTCGGGATTTTGTATGCTATCACAAGCACAAACGATCCACTATGTATGAAGCAAAGTACATTGAACTTTGACTCAGACTCACACCCCTTCACTCTACCAAGACCTAATCCGCTGAACGCTCTTGCCTTTCTGACTTCCCGTCCAACAATTCTCAACTTTAAACTTATAGCTCGAACCTCGTAGAAGGATTGCTGGTAGATCAACAGCACTCCACAAGTGCATTGATCCCTTCAAAGTGTTGTTAGAATTTTTTGAATGAAAATTGTTTCATCAATCATCAACAGATGTTTTTGACTAAACATGTGTGATCACTGATTGGTTATGGGATGAAAAGATGCAACTCAAAACCAACAAACATAACATATTCAATGTGAACCATTGCAACCTATTGCAGTGGGTATGTCCAATGATGAATAGACACGTATAAATGGTTGTGTTCAGTGATGAAGAGACATATATAAATGGGTGTGTCCAATCATGAAGAGACATATAAATGGTTGTGTCCAATGATAAAGAGACACACCCAATCCGAAAAGACACTTTTATTTCTATAAATACCCCCTTGGGCTGTGATGTATATTTTTATTCATCAATAATAAAATACCACTCGCAATAGAACGAATCTTTATAGGATATGGCTATGTTGAGGGTGTCGAACCTCAATGACTGTGGTGGTTTATTGAGTCTTCAATTAATCACTATTTTAATTTAGAAAGAGAATTTGATTTGTTGTATTGTGATGTAATTCAATAACATAAAAGAAAATAAACAGAATAAAAGGATTGAGATTAAGAGAAGAAATACTTAGGAATTGACTTCACCACGAACCTCATACTATGGTTAACTGTTCAACCTTGATGTTTTCAATAATTATGTATCATATGAAATTAAACTCAATAACATTCGTTTAATTCAGATTTAAAGAAAAATGTTCCATGAATTTCAGTTAATAATAACCTATTTTCGGTTGGTACGAATTATCTACCTACCTACTTCTAACTAATTTTGCCGTATAACTCATCTTTTCTAAGCATAAACTATGAAAATATTCATTCATGAAAAACGTTTAAACACTATTGCATAATCTCCATTCTTATGTCTGATAGGCCTCCACCAAATACCGTCCAATAAGAATGGATTGAGCATAATTTAAGAACAATTAAATCTAAGTCAAAGTATCAATCATTTAAAAACTATTTAATAATTAAAATCCAATTGAATTAAGTCAATTGCCCATAATCATGCAATCAAAATACATAATATATTAAATTCCCAAAGTACAGAACAATCAAACCATAACATTCGGATTTGGGCTACATGAATGCCCTAAGAGAGGAATTAGCTACTCATGACGATGCATGTAATGACTCGGTCATTTTCCTTCCTTTCCTTTTTCCTTAAATTTTACGGATAAATTTTTTCCGTTTAATTTTCTTTTCTGAGCTCTGTTTCTCGTCACTTGGTGTCGTCTCGAGTGCTTGGAAATGTTTTCCGAGACTCTTTCATTTGAATTGATAACTTCCTTTAAGGACCGAGTCATTTCCACATTTTCACTTTTTGGACACTATTCACTTTTCGTCTTTTTCCCTGTTTGTCACTTTTTAGCACAACCTCACTTTTCATACTCAGAGTTGGTTTTTGACTTCACATACCTTCATCCTAAGTGGTTTTCACGAATACGTGTCTTTACTTTTGTAGAAAAGTATTTTGGTTGCTTCCGGTGTCCATAGGGGCATGGATGCATAGTTTTTCAAAATCATTTTCTTTTCTTAGGGTATTTTTCATAAATATCTTTTTAAAATATTTTATTTCAGGGGTTTTTAAGAAAATATTTTTTGAAGATATTTTCATTTTTGGTCATTAGTGTAGTTAACCCTTTTTGAATGGGCTATTGTGCAATTAACGAAAGTTATTGCAAAATACCTTATTTCGAGTCTGGATCCTTGTACGAGATTCATTTTCACTTTTCGTTGAGACGTATACTCTTAGAATTTCCTCTTAGTCGTTTTCCCCAGTTTTAGGGATTTCTGACCTCGGTTACCGTCGAACTTATTCGGAGCATATCTCTCTACTTGGGACTCGGTTTTTGATGTCGTTTCTTCCCTTATTCATATTTTCTCATTTTAGTTCGCTTTTCGTTCACGGAGTTTTGCTGTTTGAGCTCGTCTGCTCAAATTCTACTTTTTTCGGATCCGGCGGGGCCCGTTCAGGGCACTTTTAGGGTTTTGCTATAAATAGAATGTCTTAAAGTGAAAAATCACTTTTTCACCATCTTCCTCCCCTCTTTGGCCGGTAGCCATGGCAGCCCCTTGGGTTTCCACCTTTTCTCCTTCTTCTCCACTTGCATTCTTTTGTTATTTCTCTTCCGCCTTAACGCTTATCGTAGGCCTCGTCGTGCTCTACTTTTCCCCCTTATTAGAATCCATTTTCGACCATTTTTGAGTTCGGGTTTCGAGTTTGGGTTTGGATTTTCATGGTACCTCAAAGGTTAAAGTTGTTCCTCTCATTGTCCCCGACATAACCTAGGAGTATCGTCGAATTTGGAGCACTTTTCTTTCGGTGGAATTTCATCTCAAATTGAGGTAGGGGATGTTATAGGTTTATATTCTTGATGTATTGCATGCTATTGATGCTTATACAACTTATTTACATGTTTTGATATCAAATCTAGAAACTTTATTATTTATTTTTCTTGTATGAGATTTGATTTTCTCGGTTGATTATAACTTGGTTTAAACATGTGGTATGATATTAAATTACACCTTGATATGATCATTGATATATATTAAATTGAGAACATTTGGACAAGTATTAAAGTTTTTATTTAATATTTTTCTTGAATGAAAATTTAATTCATGTGGCCGTATCTAGCTTGAAATCAATATGTGATATCATATTATATTAGGCCCTAGCATACTCTTCAACATATGTGAATATAAGAGTAATCAGAGATGTTTTAAAATCTAGAGATAATTAATTAATTTGATTAATTAATTTTTTTTCCAAGTGCACTATTCACTTCATTGGAATTTTGACTTGATATTGTTAATGTGCACCCATATACTTTCACATATATTAAATCAAAAATATTTGATTAGGTTTTGAAACCTTTCATTTATTATTTTTCTTGTATGAAGGTTTAATTATCATGGTTGTATCTTGTATGAAAATCACTTGTATTTGCCTATTAAATCAAGTATTGGCATGTTTTATAACATACTTTAATTTGAGAGTATTTGGATGAGTTTTAAAATCTAGAGATTTTAATT